CACACACACATATATATATAAATTAGCGCACAGTAAATGCTGGTGATAATAAAACCGTGTTCGATGTATGAAGGCTGAACGTTTATAATACTAATCAATGTAGAGAGGAACAAAATATATTTTTATTGATATTATTATCTAGTATATATATATATATATATATATATATATATATATATATATATATATATATATATATGAGGAAATATACTCTTAAGGTGTGGGTACATTTATGGGATAAATTGCCTAAATATCAGAGCGTGTGTAAATATAAAAGTGAACATAGAAGTAAACACTTAGAGGCGACAGTCTGTTTCATGCTAGATGCAATCGTCAGGCCACGAGTGCTGTTATTTTCCTCGGTTATTTATATGCGGGTCAGTGGTGCATTGTGGGTAGTCTATTTTGGCGGTTATTTTACCGGAAGTCGTTTATTTGTTTATTCATTTTTAGGGGTTAAATTATTTTGCTTGTTTTTTTTTTATTTATTTTTATGTTTTTTACTTTTTATTTATGTTTTATTTTTATATTTTTATATCTTTAAATATTTATTTTTATTTTTTATTTTTATTTTTTTTTTTATCTTTATTTATTTATTTATTTTTACTTTTTATTATTTTGCATTTTTATCTTATATATTTATTTATTTATTTTACTTTTTATTATGTTTTTTTTTTTTATCTTATATATTTTTATTTTTATTTATTTTTTATTTTTTATTATGTTTTTTTTATTTTTTTCTTATATTATATTTTTTATTTTTACTTTTATTATTTTTTTATTTTATCTATATTTATTTATTTATTTTTTACTTTTTATTATGTTTTTATTTTTATCTTATATATTTATTTATTTATTTTTACTTTTTTATTATGTTTTATTTTTATCTTATATATTTATTTATTTATTTTACTTTTTATTATGTTTTATTTTTTATCTTATATATATATTTATTTATTTTACTTTTTATTATTTTTTATTTTTATCTTATATATTTATTTATTTATTTTTTTCTTTTTATTATGTTTTATTTTATCTTATATATTTATTTATTTATTTTTTTTTATTATGTTTTTTTTTTATCTTATATATTTATTTATTTATTTTTACTTTTTTTATTATTTTTTATTTTTATCTTATATATTTATTTATTTATTTTACTTTTTATTATGTTTTTTTATTTTTATCTTATATATTTATTTATTTATTTTACTTTTTATTATGTTTTTATTTTATCTTATATTTTATTTATTTATTTTTACTTTTTATTATGTTTTATTTTTATCTTATATATTTATTTATTTATTTTTACTTTTTATTATGTTTTTTTTTATCTTATATATTTATTTATTTATTTTACTTTTTATTATGTTTTTTTTTTTTATCTTATATATATTTTATTTATTTTTTTTACTTTTTATTATGTTTTTATTTTTATCTTATATATTTATTTATTTATTTTTTACTTTTTTTTTATTATGTTTTATTTTTATTTTATATATTTATTTATTTATTTTTACTTTTTATTATGTTTTTTATTTTTATCTTATATATTTATTTATTTATTTTTACTTTTTTATTATGTTTTTATTTTTTATCTTATATATTTATTTATTTATTTTTACTTTTTATTATGTTTTTATTTTTATCTTATATATTTATTTATTTATTTTTTACTTTTTATTATTTTTTTTTTTTATCTTATATATTTATTTATTTATTTTTACTTTTTATTATGTTTTTTTTTTATCTTTTTTATATATTTATTTATTTATTTTTACTTTTATTATGTTTTTATTTTTATCTTATATATTTATTTATTTATTTTTTACTTTTATTATGTTTTTATTTTTATCTTATATATTTATTTATTTATTTTTACTTTTTTATTATGTTTTATTTTATCTTATATATTTATTTATTTATTTTTACTTTTTTATTATGTTTTTTTTTTATCTTATATATTTATTTATTTATTTTTTACTTTTTATTATGTTTTTTATTTTTATCTTATATATTTATTTATTTATTTTTTTGCTTTTTATTATGTTTTATTTTTATCTTATATATTTATTTATTTATTTTACTTTTATTATGTTTTTTTTTTTTTCTTTATATTTATTTATTTATTTTTACTTTTTTTATTATTTATTTTTATTTTTATCTTTATATATTTATTTATTTATTTTTACTTTTTATTATGTTTTTTATTTTTTATCTTATATATTTATTTATTTATTTTACTTTTTATTATGTTTTTTATTTTTATCTTATATATTTATTTATTTATTTTTACTTTTTATTATGTTTTTATTTTTATCTTATATATTTTCTTTATTTATTTTATCTTTATAATATTTGGTGTTTTTATCAACGTAATAAAATTGTTTATATCACTTTTATATATATATATATATATATATATTATTTTTATATATATATATATATATATATATTATATTCATACATCATGGGACAAAATCTCTAACTGATCTTTTCATCAAATGTTGCGTTGGTGGCATCGATTCCTTTCTAATACAATCACAGTTCATGTGGGCTGGTCTTGTCATCAGAATGAGTGATGATTCGATGCCGAAAATCCTCATGTAACCCCAACTTTTTCATGCTATGCGTAATGTGGGCCGTCCTTGGTTACGCTTCAAGGACAAACTTAAATACAATTTAAATGCTGCAAATATCTCTATAGAGGAATTCGAACTTGCTGTTGAAAACCGAGCAAACTGGAGAAATACCTGCTATTGAGGTAGAACTAACTTTGTAAAGAAACGTCTCAACCATCTGAGAGAATTAAGAATTAAAACTAAATTTCTGGTTAATACATCAGCCCATATGACGGTCAACTCTTCAATATGCCCTTCATTTGGATATGTTTTTAAATTCCGTGCTGGATTCTTGTCTCATAGACAATATAAATATAAATACTGAATTGAAAGAAACTCATACGTCGAAAACGACGGGAGAGTCCACGGTCATCATCATCCATATATACATATATATCATATATATATATATACAGTCTGCCCCAAAATGTATACAAACTTTCAGAAAGCGAAAAAATGTCTTTCGTAGTTGTATCAAATTGCAATAACACTGTTTACTGTAGTACGCTATTTTCTTGCAAGATGGCATTACTCCGACGGCTGTAGCATCAACAAGTCGTAAAGGATGTTGTGTATTGCAGAAAACTGACGACATTAGCGGCCCTCAGACAAAACACTGAAAATAAATGTGCCTGAATCTCACTGGACACTTTGGCCAACGACGCTCAAGCAACAATTCGCCTTACTAATAAATATCTGCAAGCTGACGACCACCATTTTGAGCATTTCTTGTGATTGTAGAGTTCAAATGTAACTTGTATTAATCTCGCGATATCTGAATAGATTTTGTATTACATTATCTATACTAGTTTTTCCTTTCCTGAAATGCGGACTCAGTATATATATATATATATATATATATATATATATATATATATATATAATATATATATATAAAAGTATTAATTAATATATACGGAATGAATTCCAATAACCAACAATTACTATTCTTAAAAAGTGCTCAATACAAAAGAGCAGATATAATTATTTTTTTATAAAAAATTATAACATAAGTATGTTATAAATTTCACTACAAAAATAGCCATTTTGTTTCAACACATTCTGTGTCTTCTCAAGTGATGATGTTGAAAATAAAATAAATGGTTTTAAAAAGTTTCAGATTAATTAACGATCCTACACTAGGGGAGCATTGTTACAAAAGCTAGAATAACCAATCAAAAACGAAGTATAGAAAGATTCAAATTTTATCATATGATTTTATAATTATTAGTTAGTATAAATTATTTTTAATATTACACGTATTTAAAGATCTGAATAGCTATTATAGCAGGATTTCGTTGTCAAGCTTTTTGAATCTTTCTATACTTCGTTTTTGATTGGTTATTCTAGCTTTTGTAACAATGCCCCCCAATGTAGGATCGTTAATTAATCTGAAACTTTTAAACCATTTATTTTATTTTCAACATCATCCCTTGAGAAGACACAAATTTGTTGAAACAAAATGGTTATTTTTTAGTGATTTTATAACATACTTATGTTTATAATTTTTATAAAAATAATTATATATATATATATAAACTCTCTCTATTAAATTTGAATCCCCCACTTTCTATCGTCTGTTACCCCTCTCTTTAGCTCTAACATTCGTCCCACACTCTCATACACTCTCTCTAAATTCTATTTTTTATTTCGGGAGTTGTTTTTTCTGTTTTCTTTTTGAATTTGTAGGTCTGATGAATTGGATCGTATTTACGATTCCAATGTAATAAATTATGACCATGAAATATTAGTATTTAAGCCTTTTTATATTATCCTTTGAGTTCTACCTGGATTCTATCCTCTTGTAATTTTTTTATTCAAAAAATATATATGTATGCGTATGCATTGATGTATATATATTCATATATTTTGCATATGTATGTGTATATTAAACACTAATATTATATATATATATATAATATATATATATGACTTATTTGCCTATTGACAGTATTATTTCAGTTTTATGTTAAATTTTACTTTCCTTATTGAAAGAATAAAGAAAGTCTGGGTGTGAGAAAGAAATTCAAGCCACAAAATAATTGATTAAACTTTTCAATAAGTCTAAATATAATTTTCAGTACTTGAAATAATGAGTGGCCGGCTTCCTTACTTTGCGAGCCTATGATAATAAGTTTGATTTTGAATGATTCTCCCAGAAATTATGCCTTCCGACAAATACTGCATGTTTCAAGTTCATGAAATTCCTCTGATCTCTTTCAGAAATTAGCTTGATTTGAAGAATATAGTAAGCAATGTCTGGATAGAAAAATACATTTTCCACAAACGCATATGCAAAATAAGGACTAGAATAATCCAGTACCTATACCGGGAGAAAATCTTTGATTCCTCAGCCTTCCATGACGTTCGTGTTAAGCGATGTGCCCAGCCAAGCGCTTTTCTATTGATTTCACATACTCCCTCCGTTCAATTCGTGACTTGATTATCACTGTTTTGATGCTGCCCCGAATAGCTATGTCTCAGGTGACGTCATTAACGAAAATCAACAACTTCACCTCAACGGGAAGTCCCTGGACCAAAGAACCAATATAAAAAGAACCCTTTTTTTTAAATATAAAATAATAAAAACTTCTGTAATCCTTTACCTCCCCTTAAGATTTAGAAGATATAAAAAGCACCCTGTTTAATCCGTCAGTAGACGAGTAGTCAGAGTAAAATGCAATAAAAGCTTTGGTATAAGTTTCTTCATTGGTTTTGTTTTTATTAAAACTTCCTTTAAAAAACCCTAAAAATTCTGCCTCAATACATCACGACCGGAGGTTTTCTAAAAACTTTACTCTCGAAACACAAATAATGAACGAATAAATAAAAATCATGGCTGATACACTGGAAGCTATCATCGAACTTCTTAAAAACTTTATTTTTTAAATCATAAAAACTACAACTCAATACTTTTATAAGAAGTAAGTTACGTGTTTGAATCATAATTATAAGATTTATAATAAAATTTGCATTAATTCTTGAGCACTAAATATTTATTTCTTCCTTAAATTCAACTTTTAAGCGAAAATAGTCATTTTCATTTACTTTTCTTGCAATAGTTTCAACACAACTGTGGTCTATGACAAATACTTCAGTGTCACTCTTTATACACTTTTATGAAGTACGCCACAAGGAACCGTCGGAATTACTCGTTAACCATAACATATTTGGGAAAGATATTTGAATAATCCAGAATCTATACAAGGAGAAAACGGTCAGCATACGGATAGAAAATGAATTCAGTAAATATACAAAAATAAAAAGAGGTGTATGACAAGGATGTGTCGTCTCACCGGACTTAACCTATACAGTGAGGCAATTCTGAGAGAATTACAAGTCCTACCAGGATTTATTATTGGCGGCCACAATCTTAACAACATAATATTTGCAGATCACACAGTGTTGATAGCAGAAAGAGAAAGGCAACTATAAGAACTCCGACAGAAGGTCGTAAAGGAAAGCGAGAAGAAAGGACTATACATCAATTGCAAAAAGATTGAATGTATAGTTGCTAGCGAAAGGAAGAGCCCAACTTGCTAATCACAAATTGGAGATACCAAAATCTCCCCTTGTTTTGTTACTCTCCTCTTTGAGACAGCTATTTCTGTTTACTGGGACTATAAAAGGACACTATGCAAGAACCTTGTATTCTCAGTTGAATAAAGCTTTCTTAAAACCTACACCTGTGTATTTTTGTCATTACACCGGGAATCTCCAGTTAACATAATTCTCCGAAAATACGTTTTAAAACGGAAATTATGATTGGTTGATTGATTCTTTTTAACGGCATATGTATTCTTAGTCATTTTTATAAAATGTATTGTTGGTAATTGTGCTGTAAATAGGTATTGTCGGTTCGTTGATTTTGTTTAGCGGCATATCAGCCTCTATGGGTTATTTAATGCCGAAATCTAAATATTTTGAACACAATTTTATGGCTTGAACTAAGTATACTTTGAATGCAATTGCATGTCTTCAAATACAGTTAAAATGTATAATTGGTCATTTTTTCAATAGAATGTAATGTTGGTAATTTTCCTATAAATAGGCATTGTTGCCTATTTTCTCTCTAAATTGGTATTGTTGCTAATTTTCCTATAAATTATATTGTCTTATCTTCCTATAAATAGGTATTGTTGCTGACTTTCCTATAAATAGTTATTGTTCGTAATTTCCCTATAAATAGTTACTGTTGCTAATTTTTTTTTTAACTATAAGTGGGTATTGTTGCTAATTTTACCATAAATATGTATTGCTGGTATTTTTACTATAAAATGTATTTTTATACTTGTAATGACATAAATACGCAGGTGTAAGAAAGCTTTATTCAACTGAGAATACAAGGTTCGCGTATAGTGTCCGTTTATAGTCTCAGTAAACAGAAATAGCTCTCTCAAAGAGGAGAGTAACAAAACAAGGGGAGACCATTCGCGATTATTCGCAACAATACTTTCATATTGTTTTGCTTTTGTTTGTAGTTTTATCATTTTCCCATAGCTGGGATCGTAACAGTGTGAACCAGAGAACAACAACGATTAAAAGCTTCAATATCCCAATTAGAGGTCTTGCTACCGGATGTAGTTTATCCTCATACCCAGGAACCCGGAAATTATGAGCCATGTCATGGCTGAACATCCGATTTTTTTCTATTCTTTCATATCGTGAAAATTTAAATATTGTAGTGAAATAAATATGTACGACATTGAGATTTTAATGGATAATATGATATTGTCGGAGTT